ACTCGGTTGCCTGGCCAGCCTGGGTGAGGGGCTGATGGCTGTTTGTAGGTTGGCCACAGCCCCTTCAGGGTGGAGGACCCCCACTGGGTTGCCTGGCCATCCTGGGTGAGGCACTGATGGCTGTTTGCAGGCTGGCCACAGCCCCCAGCCACCCAAGCTCCCAGTAGAGGCTGGCTGAAAGGAGGTATCTGGGATTTATTTAGCTTCTATAATTGAAACTTTGTTGCCTTTTGTGGAGGCCACAGCCAGCCATAGCAGGCTGGAAGCTTTGCTTCCTCCATCGCTGGGGCAACCAAGCCTCCTGCTTGCTCCAGCTCCGTGGCCACCGGCTGCCATCTTGGTTGGGTTAATTTGCATATAGTCGCTTTGGCTGATGGGCATGGCTTGGGTGTAGCGAAGGTATGGTCAATTAGTATCTTTGTCTTTTATTAGCATAGACTACTTTTATTTCTTTCTATTCAATTAGGGCAACATGTTGATTTTGAAATTATGGATGTACTCTCACCTATGAAGTTCATTTCAAGATCCAAAAGGCTCCTCTATATTTGTTGAGGACTCACATCATTATATGAGGGCTATAATTTTTAAGGGTTTTTCTTTGAGTTCTCCTCTGATGTCTTTAGCCCACGTCTTTCTAAATTTGTACACACAATGAGAAAACTCACAGTTTGTTGCTCATGTTCTTTTTAAAGTACTGTTTTGAGGGCTGGAGATGAGATTAAGAGCCATTCTGTGTCAGACTATTCAATTTATTTCTACATAAATAAGCCTTTTCAAAGTTCTACTTTTTCTTTGTTTAAAGATCTACCCCTTTCCTCATGTATGGTGCTGGAGCACTTCTGGTTGCCATTCTTATTACTACTGTTTGATCATTCTGTTAGCTTGTAGGGATGAGTGTTACAATCCTGCTTCACTAGCCGCACCACTGGGAGTTGGTTTGTGCGCACTTTGGATAGAGTGCTTTTCTTTTCCTTTGAAGAGACCATTCCAATACATATTTTCCTTAATTTAAAAAGGTGAATCCTTCAATTACTTTGTAATGAATTAAAATTTACTATAACTTTTCTAATCACAACTGCCTTCTTCTTATAGCTAATAAAGTGTAAGAGTGTACTCAGGGACCATTATCACATCACTTGTGAAAATATTAGTTAATATTGACTGAGCAATGACAATGTGCCAGTCACTGTTTTAACAGCTTTACATTTATTATCTCATTAATCTCACAACAATCCTGTGAGTTAGATATTATCTTCATAGGAAACTGAGGTACAGAAAAGTTACCTACCAATTTGCCCCAAATAACATAACTAGTAAATTACCAAGTAGGGATTTGCACCCTGGTTATCTAATATCAGCCCAAGAGGTTTATCCACTACTTTACTACCTCCCAAGTTTTTAGGGGCCTCCTTTCCCCTCAAGGATTAACTGCTTCACTCTAGGTTTTTTTTATTACCACTTTCTCTTTACAGCCTACCACAAATACTCAATAAATATTTATTACTTAAATAAGTGAAAGACTTAACTGCTTATTTTCACTGCTTTGCCCCCATCTCCTTTAATCTACATTGTCCTTTTAGAAAAAAAAAAGGCAAACTAAAATCCCAAATACGGTTCTTGCTCATTTCTGAGTGGTTAGAAGATAACTGCACTCTACAGCTTAAAAACAACATTATAAGCTTAATAGTTTTCACCTATACTTTCTAAGTGAGCTGACCAACGCTAAACAGAAATGCATGTAACTCTTCTGAGTATTTCATGACCTTGCAATCACACTTGCATCGAAGGGGAAATTTATAGCAATAATCTGCAAGAATTGGGCACTTCTCTCTCCCACTCCAGCAGAGCAGCTTTATGCTCCAGGGCAGCTCAGGTCACCAATTACACACCCCTGCCAGCCCTGGAACCAGTGATGCACCAGATCTATTTCAAGCTACCTGTGCTCCCATCAGAACTCACAGTTCTATCTCCTAGTTTGTTAGATTTCTGATACAAATTAACAGGAGGCCAAGTGGATTATATGTCCTAGGCAGCACACTTGATTTAGGGTGAAAGGTTACTGATCTAATATGCTAACACAGAAAAAGTTCTTGTTCTTTCTTACCCTTCATCTCTCTCTTAAATTAATTTAAAAAATTAAAATTTATTTTTTCAAAAAGTTTGACTCAGTAACTCAGTTGGATAGAGCATCATCCCAATATGCCATGGTTGTGGGTTCAATCTCTGGTCTAGGCATACACAAAAATCAATCAATGAATGCATGAATGAATGGGACAACAAATCGATGTTTCTCTCTCTCCCTAAAGTCAATTAAAAAATAAAAATAAAAAGTGATTACAGTTTCAGATTCTATAACAGGCTGATGGAGGAGGCATTATTTGAGATAGGCAAATCTCTGGCCTCTCTTCCAACCATACCCCATAAATAACACTAAAGAATTTAGACACCAAAGCATGTAAGTAAATGCACAATGATACAACTGAGAGAAAAACACAATATTGAATTTTTAAATGAGAACAGTCCCATAATTTTAATAGCCTAAGGTAAAAAAAGACAGCATGGTAGAAACAGAATGATTGTGAAAATAAAAGTCTGTTAATGTAGACAATAATTCTTTATGGTAGAAATTTATGTATATAAACTAATTCAAAGTGTCAAAGAACCCTTATATATTACAGATGGAGAACAGTGCCAGAGAAAAATGTAGACATAATTAAATGTGGATAACTTGCAGAAGTAAATTGAGATGGTTTGAGTAGAGCAAATTAAAAAATATTTACAGAATGAAAAAGGTCAAATAAAAAATGCACGTGTTAGAGGAGGCATTGTCCAAGACTAAGAATCTACTTCAATTCTTTGTATTTTAATAAAACCAATTCAATGGCATCATTTAAAAACTGAGTTAATATATTTTGAAAATTACTTACGTTGATGACCGATGAAGAAGTTGACAAATTTAAACCTTCAAGATCAGCTATCAGGCTTGGAGAAAGAGCTGGTGTGGGACGTGCAACTGGAACAGATACCGGGTTAACTGGAAGAAAAGGCCCAAATTAGCAAATGTGCATGAAAATTTAATTCATATTATTAAAAGCAACATTTTTATTTTGTTAGTAAGTCTAATTAAATTACATTGATTAATAAATTTATGGCAATGCTATTTAACATCTTGATGTAGTCAAGTTATTAACAAGTCATGGCAATTATTAGTCTTAGCTTTCAAAACATAATGGCAAATCCTATAACAAAATAAGGATATAAATATCTTGAGTAATAGTTTTTGAAAATTTTTATCACATAACATTATCACTAACATTTATCATCCAGCAACTTCACTAAAAGAAAAAGGTAAAGAAACATTTTTTTAAAGAAATAAAAATTAAAAATTAAAAAAAAGAAACTTTTTTTTCAGACTAATATAAAGGATAACAATAGCTTTCAAGGGAGTTCTCCAGTTTAGTTAGAAGTCTTAAAAGAGTGTTTAAATACTTTCTCTATTTTATTCTCCACTGTAATAATTATAGGGACACAGGCTACCGTATTTGCCGGCGTATAAGACGACTGGGCGTATAAGACGACCCCCTAACATTTCCACTCAAAATACAGAGTTTGTTATATACTCGCCGTATAAGACTACCCCCTCTTCCGCACACCTTCCACACACCAAATAAAAGGAAAAACAATATCAGATTTGATTTTAACATTTTAATTTATATTCAAATGCTTATGACATGCAGGAAAACTGTCACAAGGCTGTATGTAATCAAACATATACATAAAACAGTGCAAGTTTATTACCGGTAAACATACCGGTAATTCACTAAAGAAAACACACTCTATAGACTGGTACCGTAGATGCTTCTCAGGAACACAGGCAAGCAGCCCACAACCTAGAGGGACTGTCAATGATAGAAGTAAGATAACAAATAGAGGTAGAGAGCAAGTGCCGGGCAAGTCCCTAGCAAGTGCGCAAGTGCGAGCTCTTCAACATTCTAACAGGCACCATGATAGCGCAAAATCGCGAATCTTCAATGCATATGTAAAGAAATATACGGTAACCCGAATTTACCACACTCGCAAAATCGCACACAGCCAACCATACACCCAGTATGGTATCGCGATTCGTGATTTTGCGCTATCATACTGGGTGTATGGTCGGCTGTGTGCGATTTTGCGAGTGTGGTAAAATCGCATAACAGCAAAATCGCATAACAGCCGAGCGTACACCCAGCAGCGCTGCTGATGCCTGAACGGTATGTGGAATGAAGTGGGCGGGCATCGGGAGGCCACTATGGCACGGGGCAAGCACTATGGGCAGTCTATCTGAAGTGTACCTGGCGTATAAGACGACCCCCCACTTGGAGGCATATTTTTCAGGGCCAAAAAATCATCTTATACGCCGGCAAATACGGTACCTAATTCCCTTCTAATCATACTCTCAGCAAAAGCTATGTGCTACCTAGGGAGCACTTCCGGCGCCAGAGGGTCACTAGGAAGTCCGCAGCAAAAACCGGAAACGCCACTTCAACCCCGCAAGATCCTGCTTCCCCGCTCTCCAAAGGAGCTGCGGCAGAAGCACAGCGTCCGCTCCATGCCCATTCGCAGAGACCACGAGGTCTCTGTGGTTCGAGGACACTACAAAGGTCCGCAAATCACAAGGTAGTGCAGATGTACAGGAAGAAGTATGTCGTCTACATCGAGCGGGTGCAGCTTGAGAAGGCTAATGGCACAACTGTCCACGTGGGCATTCACCTGATCCAGGTGGTTATCACTGGCTAAAACTGGACAAAGGTCGGAAAAAATTTTTTGAACACAAAGCCAAACCTCGACAAGATGGAAAAGAGAAAAGCAAATAAAAGTAAGAACTTACTGAAAAAATGCAGGAATAAATATATCCTGTGGTGCAGCCACAGCTTAGCTCTAGGTTTTTAGCCTGGTGTGTATTCCTTTGAAACTTTTCAAGGTGTCTCTGGAATATTTCTTCCCTTCCAGGTTTGTTATTGATATATGGTTCTGTAAATCTATTGTCGTTTTGATTAATTTTATAAATAAAAATTGGAACGATTTCTTTAAAAAAAGCTATGTGCTAGTACTAGAGATCAGATACCTGAAAGTGAAAAATTTTTTAAAAATGCAAATCTGATTATGTTACTTCTCTCAAGACTTTGTTTTAAAAAAATATATTTCATTGATTTTTCACAGAGATGGAAGGGAGAGGGACAGAGAGTTGGAAACATCAATGAGAGAGAAACATTGATCAGCTGTCTCCTGCACACCTCCCACTGGGGATGTGCCCGCAACCAAGGTACATGGCCTTAGTCGGAATCGAACCTGGGACCTTTCAGTCTGCAGGCCGACGCTCCAACCACTGAGCCAAACTGGTTAGAGCTCTCCTTAAGACTCTTGAAAAGCTCACAATTGCCTGCAAAAAGTCCAAATCTTTAATTAAGTGCACAAGGTGCTCTATAATCTAGCTCAGCATTATCCAATTGGACTTTCTGTGATGATGGAAATGTTTTGTAGGTGAGCTGTCCAATGTGATGGCCAGAGGCAAATACACCTAAGGCACTCTTGAAATGGTGCTATAATGACTAAGGAACTGCATTTTTTTTAAAATCAATTTAAATTTTAGTACCTATGAATGGCCAGTGGCCACTAAATTGGAAAGCACAGGTCTAGCTTACCCCCAATTTTATCAGCTGCCATAAAATATTTTCCAAGATCTTACTTCATATCTTTGAGTCTTTTATTTTTTATTTCCTTTGCCTAGAAGGTTCTTCTCTGCCTTGTTCACTTTGCAACTTCTACCCATTAAGATACCACTTACAGGGAAAGTACAACCTGACTCACCTAAACACAGCTTATATGTGCCTTCCTTATTACATAGAAATATGTGGACATCCTTCTACAACCATATTTCTCTCACAATACAAATTTGTCTTTATACGTTTTTATTTCCACTAGTCTGTATAAGCAGACTTTTTTTTAGTACTAAGTAACTGCTCAACTGTTTGCTGAATGAAATAAATGAAAACGTGAAAAAAGTTTTAGCTTCCTTCAAATTCTCACTCCGAAATAATACTATATTTGACATCATTTTTCAAAGCATCATTTTCTCATTTTAGTCTCACAATATCCCATAAATTAGACAGAACAAATATTAATTCATAAAGTTAGCAATAAATATTTCTTGAATGAGAGCAAGGGAGAGACAATGTTCAAATTATGGTTCAAGATATGTTCCCTGTCTTCAAATAACTGAACATCTAATTAATAAAAAAGATACACATGCTTAATGTAAAAAAATAAAACTATACAGTCCATATGATATTGCCAAAAGAAGAAAAATTTCAAAGGAAATCTTAAATAAAATCTCAACATATACAATAGAAAAAGCAGTAGAGATTGGGTGAAGGAGAAATGGAGCCCTTGCTTTCTCATTTGCACTCCTTTGCTGTGCCCGAAGCGCTGCTACAGATCCTCAGGCTTCCTTAGACATATGTTGAAAACCACTGTATAGTTAAGCAAGTGCCATGGGAGTTGGAAAAAAAAAAGGATCAATGGGGATATGGTGGTAAGAGAAGGCTTCATGAATAGGAGGGAATGAAGTCTAGTTTTTCAGTAAGATAGGATCTGAATAAGAGGAAAGAAAGAAATTGGTTAATTACTGGGTGAGAAAATGTAAACAAAGGCTGAGAGGTAGAAAATTGGAAAGCTAAGAGGACTGGATTTATCTTGTACACTAAAGGGACAGTAAAAAATCTACCAAAAAGAGGATATCAAGTGGTAGTATAAGGGACAAACTGAAGAAAAAACATTTAGGTTGGAGTGAGGAAGAATTTACAATAGTTTTGGCAAGATGTGAAAAGGACTGAAGTAAGATAATGGCAGTAAGAAGACAGAAAATGCCGGGAGCCGGTCCATCCTTGCTGTTTCAAGGGACCTGGCATATATGGCATACTGTTCTTAATATGTTTGGTCACCTTCTTGGCACTAGGTGTTTTAACCAAGGTCACCTCTCTGAGAAAGGTTGTTTCCCCAGGTAGGGATTTTCCCCTGAAGTTAGGGAGGGAATAAAACCTCT